TATATATATAATTTTGTCAGTAGACTGAATATATATATATATATATATATATCAAATTTTAATATAAGTTGTACGATGTGGTGATTTTAAACGTGATAATAAATTTTATTTAATGTACAACCACGTATCCTGAGAATATTATATTAATTAATTAATCATTATTCTTGGAGAACCCTTTTTGGAAAGACAACACAACAATACCAGCGTATCATTCCTTATAAAAGTTTATTATATTCTTTTTTTTTTTCTTTTTTCTTTTCTTGTTCTTGTGTTTTTTTCTCTTGTCTTTTTTTTTCTCTTCACTTTTGTTCTTATAATCGTTTATCGATGTTATTATAATAATATTTAGTATCACCAGCATACAGTTATTACATTATAAAGTACACTCTTGTCAAATTTAGTAGCGAACAGTACACTTTAGCTTTTATCTGTAAATATAAACTGTTAAATCGCTTGGACTCTGTACACGGTATATCGTTGAAAATATAATTAATGTACATTACATTACTTCCTTGATAATCTCCAAAGTGAAATTTTTTGTTTAAAACAATTACAAATTTGTAGTTAAAAAAAACATTCGACTAATATCATCGAGGATCTTGTTTTTTTTCTACACGCGCAGTATATGCCTCTATATTCATTATAGAAAATAAATGTTTGTGTCACCCAAATAATAATCTTTTTTAACTATTAATTCTTAATGAAATTATGAATGTAGTCTAGTATCATTTTCTTACGCAATTATATAATAACAACCTTATGTAAAAAATAAAAAAGAAGAAGAAGAAGAAATAAATGTGTACAAATCATGAATAGGTGAAAATACGGAGAAAAGATAACGCAAAAGCGTAACGAAAATGACGAATCGGAGATTAATAATATAAATTATGTTCGTGATCACAGTTTACGAAGATCAAGAACAAATACACTGCCATCCGATGCAGAAGCACCGACTTTGTCACCTCTGCTATTCCAGCATACTTCAAATATTCCACCCGTACCTTTGTAACTGTGAACTAATAACCCGCTCTGCAAAAATACAATGAGAGAAACATTATAATATCCGAATGTTAACGAAATTAACTTGAATAACAATGCGTAAGAATTTACCTGAGTTGACCAAATATGAACACATTTATCAAAACTTCCGCTAGCAAGGAACTTGCCATCTGGACTAAATGCCACACTGTATACTGGCTCGGTATGTTTCGTGAGCGTATGTATACAAGCTCCTCTTTCTACATCCCACAATCTTACAGTCGAATCGAATGATGCACTAGCGAGCGTCAAGTTCATATTTGGATTATGCGTTCCTGGACCAGTCGGAGACCACTTGATAGTATAGATTTCTTTACTATGAGCTTGAAGATCGTGTACCCAAGTATCTTGCTTCATAGACCATATCTTTAAACTCATATCGTCCGAACAACTAGCCAATAGATTACCTTGGGGATCCCATTTAATAGCATTTACTTCGTTCTAAAAGTTTGATTACAAGATATTATCTCATAGAAATTGTGTAAGATAAAAAATCATAGACGATGACGATAACGATAATACATACCGTATGACCTTGGAAGCTCTTTATAGGTTTATCTACATTCAATCTGCATACATGAATGCATTGATCCGTAGAGCAACTAGCAAACGATGTATTAGTTTGCCAATCGACGTCCAATGCGGGTGCACAATGAAAACTGAATTGCTGAGTACATTGTCCACTTTCGGCATCCCAAATAATAGTTGTTTTATCGACACCTGCACTTAAAATGTAGTTTCCGCGTTTGTTCCACTTCAAAGCGAAAATTGGACCTTTGTGTTGGCCCAGAGTAGATGCCAATCTTCCGTCTGTTGTCCAAATACGTGCATAGCCATCGTAACTTCCGGTTGCTAGCAACGTACCATCGCACTAGAATAATTAAAATATATCTTTTAACATATCTGCACCAATCTCTAAATAGAATCATTTTTTTATTAAATACCTTCCAATCTAATGAAGTAACATCCTTGTTACTTGGTACTTCGGTTCCACCTTTTTGAATGCAATGACGAAGAACCAATTGATTAGGAGCCTGAGAATTATCAGACATATCCCAAATACGAGCAGTGCTGTCTCCAGAACCAGAAGCCAAAAGATCGGTGGTAGGGTTCCAAGCGCATATAAAAACTTCAGACTCGTGCCCTCGTAACTTGGTAGCCTTACTAGCAGGTATTTCAACAGCACTAGCATTAGCACCAGTCCCTGTACCTTGCTGCTGTTCGTCCACTTCCATTTCATTTCTATCTGCACCTCGATCGCTTGTTCCTACACCATCATTTGATGTCACCACTATAAATATAGGTTCAAATAGATGTTCCACAAGTTCATGGATAATTGAAATTCATCTATTTAATGGAATAGGAATCTGTACGTGTACATGTGTATATTTGTATGCTCCTGTTAAATAGATATTTTTTATAAAACAATTAAAGTCAACCAACTCAATCTAAATTTCCAAAAAGTCTAAGTACTTCATTGATTACTTGTTAAAATAACAAACGAAAGTGCTTTCCTATAGAAAAATAGATTGGATTAGTAGATTTTTAATAACACAAAATATCTAATAAACCAAGCAGCCTGTTAATCTGCCTGAGAATTAAAGAGATCTACAAAAATGAAATACTTTTGTAAACCAGGGTGTTGTACAGGCATTAATACCGTATGTTAAAATTAATTAAAGAAGTTAATGTAACAATTATACAACCTTCTTCTCCATTAGTATCTTGAACTTCTGTTTTTATCTGTTGTTTCTGTTGATTGATCTGATTCTGTCTGGATGCAACAATATCTGGCATGACCGCATCAATGAGAGATAACGACTCAACCATCCTTTGTTCCGTTCCGTCTTCACCGATAGAAATTTCTGCCTCGGTATACTGTAATCCCTTTTGTAAAATAGATAGGAGAGCTGCCGGTGGTACTAGAGCACCATTTATGTTGCTCTGCGCTATATGGGATTCTATACCAAAAGTATATGCCGAATGTACAAATCCTAAAATTGAAAAATATATATTTATATTATAATTTTTTAACAACTCAATGAGAAATATATCTTTATTTGCATACAATATTTTAATTATAAAAATTAACTGTACCAACAATTTTTCTTTGACAAATCATGAGAAATAATGTTTGTTATAAAAATATGATAATAAAAATAAAGTGCATATTTGTTAAGTGTCCTACGTTAGAGGTTAGCAAATGTTGTTATTAGTCGTACCGGATTCTTGAAGATAGCGGTAGACTAAAAAGTTGACTTCATCGCTAGAGAAGCTCATCGTTAAAGGCCTTCACAGCACTAACATAACATATTTACGTTCGGACACATCGAAAACTTTCCTTTTTTTTTTTTTGATATTTCGACGCTAAAATTTGCCGCGTTGAATTCTCACGAGAAAGATACACAGATGACCAACGAATTCCACGCAAACTAAAAAACGGTAAACTGATTCAACATTAATAACGACGAAAACTATTTTTTTTTCTCCAAATTTAAATAATCGTAAAAAAATTATTTACAAAACATCGAAGCAACATCCAAATTGTCGATTAATCGATTTTTCAAATTAATATTTAATACCCACAGGTTACTACTCGTTAAAATGAAAATATAAATATAAGAAAAATCGTTCATTAATTTTTAGTAAGTTTCCTTTCTCGTAAATCGTTGCATCGATGATCTGGACAAAAAACTGTTTCGAAATTAATTTTTTTCTCGTTAGATGGCGATCCTTGGACAAGAATTGCATACTCAGAATCGTATCTATAAAGTGCATTCACTTTCGTTTACTCTGCATTGTTGTAAACGTTTACTTTTTTATTAATCATCCGATCTGAAGGTGTATAGCTTAAGAAGAAAGTCAAATATTATGATAAAACAAACTTTGACATTAACACATGTTGGATAATTTGTTTATGGAACGGTGCCCATTTATATTACAAATAGTACAAAAATTGTTAACGAAAAAAAAAGTAACAAGTTTTCGGACGATAAATAAATAACTAAAAATGACCCGGAATAATAGGTGAGGTTTTTTTTCTTTTTTTTACTTAATTCTTAATAATATAACCTATATTAAAAAACTTCAGGAATATATTGTTTTTGATCTCGTGTAAATTGATTTATCTTGAATGTTATCGATTGTTAGAAAACGTGGACGTGTCGAGGAAGAATCGGCTGATTTTGTGCCGCTGAGTAAAAGAATAAATAACCTTCATATCAACAGCCTGTCAGGCCTACAAAAAGGTGCACCAGAAAGTATGGAATCTGAATGGGGAAACTCGAATATTTATTGTTCTCCAAATTATTCAGAACCATCGCAAAACAACTCGCCCATGCATGATACTTGTGGATCTAGTTCAAGTAGTTACACCAACGAATATAGGCCTGATCTCAGCGTAACAGAGAACCCCTTCTATTACGAAACCAATAAATTATTATTTTCATTGCACATGGAACGTATACAAAGATCTGAAGCATATTAATAATAATTGTAGGTATATATATATATATATTTATTAGATATATTTTTCAGTTACGTTTAAATCATTCCTTTGGGATAATTTTTTAAAGTATTAGTATAACACTACTACTCTACTAAGATTTCTAAATTTAGTTCGATGTCGAAAGTTACATTAAATTGGTTATTGATCATTTTTAGTAACTTAAATTATATTGTTATTTCAATTTAAAAATGATAATCCATCTTGATCATCAATTACAAAATTTATTTCTTTGGTACCAAAGTTATATCAAATAGGATGTCATATACAATTGATTGTTATAATAGTTATAATTCTAGTATTGATACATATTAATAATAATGATTTGTGATAAAAGTATTTGGCAAAAATATTACATTTTTATAAATTATATATAATGGAGAGGAATAGTCATCAAATAAATAAAATGAAATAGGATTGACTGAATATATTTTTTATTTTCGAACAATAAAAAATTATATGTTTATTTTAATTTATTATATTTCATTTATTGAATAATCGTTCGTCACGATGAATTGTAATAATGAATTTTCTGTAACCTAAAAAAAAGATAAAAAAGATAAAATATCTCGGATATTCATAGTGGATTGCATTGCATTCAAAGTGATTTAAAGTTGTGTTTGTAAACATTGCAAGCCGTGTTTCTAATTTTAAATGTTCCCGCCTTAAGGCGAAAAATTGTAAATTAGACTTAAGACCAGCTGTAGCAGGAATTCGATATACGCGCGTTCTGACTAAACCTCGAGCACCAATCAGAAAACGTTTTAATCGCCAACATTTAGTAAAAGAAGAGAAACGCGCATGCGCACAATCGACCTTACATTTGTTTCTCAATGTATCCGCATGGCTAGGACACGCGTGCATATTGAGGAGGAAGTATAACAGTACTTAGTTTTTTTCTCGATTATTTTGATTTAAATAGTGCATTACTTGTGCGGATAAAAACATTGCCATTATAATGAATCAAATAAAAAACACAGGAGCGTTTAATTAATTTAAGAATCTTACAAGGTACACCAGTAAAAGGCGCGTATTTTCTTCTTTTGTTTTTTGTGTTTCCTTTTTTCGTTTCACACTTTCGTATGATTAATTAACGTGAAAGCGTGCACATAACCTATCGCCATAGTTAATCATATATCTCGATAGGATGTTGAGTGAAGAATCATGTTCTGCTATACCATTTTATCATTTGATCTACCAAAATTTTTCAAAATAGTATAAAAACATACATAATGGTTAAAATTGAGTGAACAATGAAACTAATTATCAAGACTGACTTTAACATATAAAGAAGAAGGAATTAAAAGGAACAATTAGGAAATACGTAATAAAAAACGATGTATTAGAGGAAAGTAAGTAAATAATATAAAATAAAAGGGAAGCATCAATTTCGTTATCGCGACAAAACTAACCCACAAAACTTATCTCCGAGACGCTCTCGTGGGAACGAATGCGCGCGCATCTATAATTGGGAGGCTCGACATTAATGCAGTTTTTCGTTCGATGAATGAACGAGCGAATTAATTACTTAATTAATTAATGAAGTATCGTGTTAATTAATTAATTGAATCGATCGAAAAGAGAATATTTGGCAAAGTAAATAAAAAAAGGGAAGAAGAGGAAGAAGGTGATATCCGAAGTAAGGGAAATAAAAAAGCAAGTAGTGGACAAGAGGATACGAAGAAAAACTTTGGATTCTTGCGATCGGATTGGCTTGGAACGAGGCGACAAGGAGGCGTCACACGGAGAGTAAGTCGAACGCATGTGGTTGTATTTTGCCCGCTTGTCGAGTCGTGCATGTACCGTTAACTCGAATTCATTTCACCTGGTTGAACGGAAAGCAAGTCCCGCTTCTTACCGACCAACCGATCGAGAGAGAGTTGATCGTGCACGACCATCGAGTGCGATTCGTCGTTGTCGTAAAAACCGGAAACGCGTATACTTGCGTTGCTCACCTAACCAAATTTCACTCGGGACGTGGCTTAAATTGTACGAAAAAGAAAATATCAATTTCTTTTTTTCTCTCTCTCTCTCTCTATTTCCAAATAATCGTGTCGCGTGATCGTCCTCGTTTCGAAATCTATTTTTTGGTTTTTTCCGTTTGTCTGTCTCTCTCTTTCTCTTTCTTTTTTATTCATGTAAATTTGATCGAAGAAATCGCACAAATTCGTCAAATCCGAGTGTAGTTCGAACGCGCGTGTTTCGCATGACGTGTCACGAGAGAAGCAACAGCAGCACCACCACTACCATCAGTAGCATCACTAGTATCGAAAAAGGAATAGTAGTTAATAGTAACAGCAGCAGCAGCAGTAGGAGGAAGAAGGAATAGAGAGAGAGAACGGTGGTGGCGACGGCGGTGCTCTGGGGACGTTGCTGAGAACAGTGGTGTGGTGGCGGTAGTAGTGTAGTAGTAGTAGTGGTGGTAGTGGTAGTATAGTGTAATAGTAATACCGCGACGACAACGACAACGACAAACGACGCTACTAGCTGGGTACGAACGAGGAAAAACGAACGAGCAAGCAGCTTAGCGTAGAAATGAGAAAGTACACCTCGCAACGGCGACGTTTTACGCGCTGAGGAGGAGATTGAGTACGCAAGGAGGCGAGAATTCGAGAGAACAGAACGGAACACGACTGAGAGAAGAGACAGACGCGCATACGTGCGGACGGACAAACAAACGGACGTACGTACGTACGTACGTACGTGCATACACATACGTACACTCGGTTCGTTCGCTCGGTCGGTCGTTCGCTCGCCCGTACGTTCGTTCGTTCGTTCATTTTCAAGCCAGCAACAAACTGCCTTTAACTGCTCGTTCGAACAGTCTTGATAAATTTGTATTAACACAAGGGAACATTGTTAGATCGTTGTGACCGAGGACGACGACGACGTCGGTGGGTTTCGGAAGAGAAGAACATCGCCAAAGGCAGGCGTCCGCGTTCTCTCTTTTTCTCTCTGTCTACTACTTCTTCGTGCGGGGTAAGTAGGACAAGAAAGAATGGAAAGGAAGTAGAAGAATCTTCTTCTTTTTTTTTTTCTCCATTGAACCTCAGCACGGCGCGTTTCTCTTTCCCCAGTTTCTCTTTTGGATGCTTTCTTTTTTTTCCTTCCTCTTTCGTTGTTCGTCGTTCACTCACTCGTTAGCTCGCTTTGTTGTTCTCCTCGCCACACTCTCACTCGTTCACACTCCTTATAATAATAGTTCGTCGTAATGCACCTTTTGTCACGTTTTTCTCGAAGATCTACGAGAATAAAGAAACTTAGAAAGAGAATGAGAATGAGATAGAGAAAGGCGTGCCACGATTTAAGAGAGAAACCGCGAAACGGTGGCCCACGGAGAGCACCCACCCCAAGACACTAAAATCGTCGCGGGGCCCTCGTCGTGGCTGACGGCTTGGCTCGGGCAGGCTTTGGTGGGGTTGGTCGGAGGTGCGGACAGTGGTTGAGAGGCTGGTGGGGTTGGAAATTGCGTGGTGGTGGGTGCCCGCCGAGGTCTCGGAGGCCCCTCCGTGTGGCATCTCTGCCTCTAACCCAACGAGGTGGGGGTGTAAACAACAGCCCTGCCCGTGCTCCTCTCCGATGGCATAGCCCTGGCTTGTTTCCTGCCTGCCTGCCTGCTTGCCTTGCCTTGCCTTGTCTTACCTTGGCTTGGCTTGCCTTGCCTACCTACTTGCTTACCTGCTTATTTGTCTGCTTGCTTGCCTTGTCTCGTTTTACCTTACCTTGCCCACGTATATACCCTTCGCCATGTTATACTTATTTTTCTATATCCACGTGTGTTATGCCTGCGCTATGTATGATGTGTGTGTGTGTATGGGTCTCGGGCGACTCTTCTCACCAAGCATCTTCCTATTTCCTCCCTCTCTCTCCATCTCCCTCTCCTCTCATAGAGCGCATTCCACTCCGATCGCGAAAGAACGACATGGAAAAGGGAGTGAGAGAGGAAGAGGAGGAGAGGAAGAGACGATGGAGGTGGTGGACACCCGTGTACCGTCGCGGGAGAAGCCAGCCCCACGTTCGAGAAAGAGGAGAGGAACGCTCTTAGCGAGAGAGTGAGACAGAAAATATGTATATATGTGTCTGCCTGCTGCTGCTGTATGTGTGTGTATGAAAGAGAAGAGAGAGAGAAACAGCAATTGCATTCGTCGAGAGAAAATAAAGCCGTCGGCTAGGTCGCCATGTAGAAGGAAAGCAAGCACAGTATCCTTTGCGTCATGGCGGCCGAGCAAGCATCACGAGGACAACGCGTTCGATTTCCGTTCTTCGAGCATCCGATTGGTTTTCCCGTGCTACTACGTGTTTGCCACGTCATGATTCGATCATTTACGGCCACGTCATGATTCGGTCATTTCCGGCCACGTCATTGCCGCTACTAAATATTACCCATCATTCATTTCCGCTTTTTTGACTTTCCATTTTATCGAGACATAATCAAACAATGGAATCTAAGAACAACACAACGTGGACGCGTTAATATTATTTTATCTAGTCATCATAATATTTATAATTTCATGGTGGTAATAGGACAAAATTAATCGAAGAAAGAATTATGCTGGTTGCAACAGCAACGCCGCCGCCGACGACGACGACCGACGAATACAACGGTAGGCAGCAGCAGCCATGCCCCGTCGTTCCATTCGCCGAACGGCGTCCCTCGAGTTGAACGGGATAATAAAGGACCGAGATACACGCGTACACACACACACACACGCGCGGTCGTTCGTTCGTTCGTCGTTCGAAAACGTGTTACATAAAAGAAAGATGGAGGAAAAGCGATAATCTTTATAATTGAATAATAGAGTATTAAGAAAGAGAAAGAAAAGGAACGAACAAAAAAAAATATATAGAGAGAAAGGAAAGCGATAAATAAATGCATTAAGGGAAAGTAGGTATATCTCGCGCGTTGTGTGTTAATTTGGTATTCGCGTAGTAGGACGGACGACGATATATTTCTCTCTCTCGTGTTGCGTACGTGCGCGCGCGCGCGTGCTGCTTCTCTTTCGAAAGAGAGAGAGAGAGAGAGAGAGAGAGAGAAAGAGGCAGGCGCAGCGAGCCTTAAGAGAATCGACGCCATTACGACATGCGCGTCTTGCAAAGGAGACCGACGGCCTCGGCCGAGCGGTCAGTCGCACTCGCCGTTTCGCCGACGACGAAAAAGCCAAACGTCCAACAGTCGAAAAGGGGCTGCTTATTATCGAGATAAAATTACCTATCCATTATTATTTTGGCGGTATTCGCGTGTTCGCGTTGCGTCGCGTCGTGGCAATCGAAGGAATCGCGAGGGAATAACGAGGAGGAGAGGACGTGGGAGAGGATCTCTCTCCTCTCGGTTATAGGCCGCGCGACACCCTTCTTGGTGGCGTACGGCGGTGCTAAAGGCGGCACCACGGGTAACAAACCTAACCTTTCTCTCTCTCTATCTAATGCTTCCTGGCTCTCACTCTCTCTCTTTTACCTTCCTTCCCTCCAACGAGTGCGTTCCGAAACAAGGGCAAACGTCGCCGTCGTGTCCCACTTCGTCTACCACAGTGTCTACTACACTCTGCTCCCTCTCCCTATTCTCTCTCTCTTTCTCTCGTTCTCTCTCTCCCGATATTTCGCGTTCCCCTCCCCTGGGAGTTTCCGGTAGTGTCGTGGCTTGTCTCCCTTCTTTCTTGACGCGTGCCCCTACCCCATCCTGAGCTTTTCGTCTCTCTTTTCTCTCTCTCTCTCTCCTCTCTTCTCTCTCTCTTTCGTCTCTCCTCTCTCTGCTATACGTATCTTTCTTTCTCTCTTTGGTCTCTCCCGCACGATACGTGTTACTACTTTACGCTGTAGTGGAGTTGGTGTCAGAAGGGGAGAGAAAGAATGGAGAGAATATAAAGAGAGGGAGAGTGGTAAAACGAATGAACCAGAGAGAGAGAGAGAGAGAATGAGAAGAAAGAAAGAGATGATAACGGGTAGGAAGGAGGAAGATCGGTGGTGGAGGCTGAGAGAAGGGAGGGAGCGAAAGATCGGGGCTCTATTTCGCGGTGGGATCCCGCTTTCCCACCTATGCCTTCCCCCCTATCCTCTTTTTGCTCCTACCCCATAGTTGCAACGAGCGTGGTGGAGTGTGGAGTGGAGTGGGGTGTAATCCTGGGCCACTTCGGCGACCATCCTCCCTGCTCCCAGATCCCTTTTGTGGTGGGGGAGGGGTGAAGTGGGGGTTTCCCTCACCCCAACCCCACCACCCCGACACACTCTACTCACGGTGGCACTTCCACCTCCGCACGAGAGAACACGACCGACAACGACGACGAGTTGCCTTTTGACTCCCTACCGCTTACTACACCACTTTTATAACATACACTTTCGATAGATGTTGTGTTGTTGTGTAGGCATGGAAATAGAGAGAAAAAGAGAGGGAGGATTGTGGGATGCGTTCTGGGTGGCTAGAAGAGGGAAGGGGTTTATACACGAGCATTCACTCGAATATAAATAGACGTGTTAAAGACGAACAGAGGTGGAGGAAGAGGAAATGTCGATTGGTTTACTTATAGCAACTTTGGTCTTGATAGAAATGAGAATAAGTAATAGTAAAAAGACTTGAGGGCAAATCTTGCAAACGACATGTATTGTATAGAGTACTTGAGGAATATGAACTTTGGAAAAAATGATTTAATTAGAATCAATCATAAATCCCAATTGATTTCTTTCTTACATTTCATATTTAAATTCAAACGTAAATAGAACATTAGATATGATACATAGGATATCTAATAATAATTATATAATATATATCTTTGATTACAATTATTATTTACTAATGTATGTATTTATTTGTTTTCTTTTTCAACAGACGTAACATCGGTTAAAGATGAATTTCACGCCTTTTCCTGGCTTTGCCACAGGCTCGTTACAACCGGGCGCTGTTCACCAATTTGCAACAGCGAAATTTGCACAAAATTTAACTACTGGTGGTCAAGTCGTCGGCGTTTTATCAGGTGGAGAGGGTGGCGTTCATTATTTAAGACCAGTTGACCCTAACGGGTTTGCTGTTGCTCAAGGAGGCAATAACCAACAACAGCAAATCATTACGCTGCCTATAACTGTACCTGGAAAAGATGGAACGCAACAGCAACAAACTGTTCAAATTCAGGTGGTTAATCCCAGTGTTTCTCAAAGCGGAAACAGCGGGGACCAACCCAAATATCATATTGCACCTATTTCGTTGGGACAATTTCCCCAAGGTGCAGCGACTGTCCTTACCGTTGCCTATAGTCAACAACAAGGCACGGATGGTCTCCAGATTCAAGTTCAGCCACAAAATACTGTGGCAACAACGCAAACGTAAGAATCGTCATATTTCAAATATTCTTATTTTTATTTTATTATTTTTTTACTTGTCAATTGTAACATCGTTTTTATTTTATTTCTGATAGATCGGATCAAACAACACAAAGTACATCAGTGGCAGTAACTACCACATCACAACAGACGATTCAGCAAACAGTACAACTTCCAGGAGCACCAGAGGGATTGACTGTGGTTGCGCAAATACCACAAGATTTGATTTTAAGAGAAGGAATGGAAGAGTCTAAGGAGGATGTGAAAGAAGGCACAACTCCGGTTGCTCTTATTAAAAGAGGAACAGTCAAAAATCAAGGAAATCAAAGTAATGAAGAGTTCATTACTGCAATGCCTGCAGGATGGCAAAGTCTGGCAACACCAGGTTCTACTGTTGCTGATTATCTCTCAAGGTTACCCGCTAGTACCTTGCCTCTCGGCTTACAGCATTTTCTCAAATTTTCAACAGAAACGATAAAAAGAGAAGCGAACATAGAATCGAGTCCTTTGGGCGCGGATGGCTTAGATGCTTCTGGCAGTATGCCATCTGGAGAACAAGCTGTACAGATTACGGTAGCCGGAGGTGAGACGATTCTTCCTGATGTTGTCGAAGAACAAGAACCAGGAGCAAAACCTAAAAGAAAAAAGAAATATAAGAAAAAGCCTCCAAAACCAAAAAAGCCAAAGCCCGGTCAAGTTAGTATTGTTACTGCCTTAGATGGTACCACTCTGTTTTGTTGCCCTCAATGCAACATGGCTTATCCAGAGAAAGAACTATTGGAACAACATCTTATTGGTCATAAAATAGAGAGGAGGTTTATCTGCGATATTTGCGGTGCTGGCTTGAAGCGAAAAGAACATTTAGAACGACACAAACTTGGTCATAATCCCGATAGACCGTTTATTTGCTCTGTCTGCATGAAAGGGTTTAAGCGAAAAGAGCATCTCAATCTTCACTTTGTTATACATTCTGGACAAAAAACCGAAGTGTGTAGCGAATGTGGAAAAGCTTTCTATAGAAAAGACCATTTAAGAAAGCATGCAAGATCTCATCTTGCTAAACGTGCTAAAGAAGATCCACTAAATACGGCTGATACTTCGCAAAATCAGCAACAAGTAGAACAAGCACAGCAACAAACTGAACAGCAAATGCAACAACAATCCTCCGTACCAGAGCTTCAGCAAATTCAAATACAAGTAGGACAGGGCTCTCAAGCTCAGATTCATCAAATTTCTGTCAGCGAACAGTCTACCGTTGTGCTGCCGACTGCTGCTGAAACAGGTGCAATGGCGATGTTGCATCATCAGCAACAACAGCAGCAGCAACAGCAACAACAGCAACAGCAGCAGCAGCAACAACAGCAACAACAACAACAGCAGCAGCAACAGCAGCAGCAGCAGCAACAACAGCAACAACCTCAACAACAGCAACCTCAACAACAACAGCAGCATTAGCAACAGCATACCGCCCCTAGTCAAGCCGGGCGGTACTACAGATTCAATCATCAACAGGCTAGGGGTCGTGTTAGACAAGGAGTTCTAGCAGATTGAATTCTTATCGAAATTCTTTAATTGATATCGTGCAAGAAATTTTGTTGATGATGGTCATTGTTGCCTAGTAGTGATTACATAAAAGAAAAAAAAAATGATATCAGCTTGGACCTTAAACCGCGTCGTGGCTAGGCCGGAATAATTTATATTTACAATCATCTTTTAAAGCGCACCGAGCTGAACCACGAACAAAAAGGCTCGTTTATTCGAATTTTCTTTTTTTTTTTTGCGTACACGTTATAGCGTACGTGTGAAGGTGCGAATGAATCGCACGATATAAAATGTTTTCGTCGCCAATCCAGTTCCATGACGCACGCGTTATATATAAATGAAGAAATTTATATATATATATATAAATATATATGAATATATGCATACATATATAATGTATATATATCCATATATACATATATATAATATATATATATATGTACATATAAGTATATACATATACGTATATGTATATATATATTTAAACATACACTTATATAAATAGATAAAAAAAATATATATATTTTTGAAACCACGAACTGGATTCGCCGAAGGACAAAGGCAATCGAGTTTGGGGCTAACATTATTTCTCTTGAATAAATGAAATAATAAGAGAAAATGAAAAAATAATAAAAAAGAAACAAAAAAAAATAAAACCCTGTAAATATAACAGTTTTTCATCCCTAAACGGAGGATTACTGTGATGTGCAAATATAAAGTGATATGTTTTATTTATTAATTTGCTTAGTCTACACGCAATCCGAGATAAAGTAAAGGGATGAAAAAGAAAATGAAAAAAAAGAAAGGGAGAAAGAGTAATCAATCGTTTGATTTTAATTTAGTATTACGTAGAAATCTATTATTGAAGTTGTTGCAAAACATAAAAGAAAAGTGTAATCATAAATTGTTCTCATTTATAAATTAATGACAATGATTAGTGTATATTTTTACAATAATAAGTGGCGCGCGAACCACTTAATATGTATTTTAATGTGATTCGTTACATCGCATAAATTGGATTAAAGATTATGAGATAATTGCATGTAGAAATCAAATTAAATGCGGAATATTTTGCAAAAGTATATATACTATGTTTGCCATTCGCACGAGGAATACATATATGGTTTTATCCGATTAAAAAAAGAAAGAGAAATAAGTTTACAATTAATTTCTATATATTATTTGATGCATTTATGTGGAAGAAGAACATATATATGTGGAAAGGACAACAAAGCAAAGCCAACATTTACACATTTTGCAAATATTTCATAATCTCGAATTATTCGTCAATTTTTTTTTTTTATCATTCTTAGCTTTGATTTTTTTGAATGAACCAATCAACCAATTGTACAATTTTTATACGGATATTAAGAAATGCTTTTCTTTATGTTAATACATCGTCATATTTAGAAGTGGAATCTTCAAAGCACAGTTGTAATTTCTATCAAGAAAGTTTGACGACGATATTTCATTGAAAAAAAATAATCATTTAAAATGAATGAAAATGAAATTTAAGTGACTCGGGAAATTGTTGAGTAGAAGCGAATGTATAATAAAGAAAAAAAAAAAAAGAGAGAAAAAATTCATGAAAAAAGAAAGAAAAAAAAATCGCATTGTAAGTATAAGGTAACTGGCATCGGGAAAAATAGTTGTAAAAGAAATATAATTATTATTTTATTATTATTATGATGATAATGATTATTATTTCTTTATTAAATAGAGCTCATTATTATTATTATTATTATTATTATTATTATTATTATTATTATTATTATTATTATCGTAGAAATTATGGATAGTTTATAAGTCATTTTCATTGTTACTTACATAAATATTGGAGGAGAAAAATAAAGAATACATTTAATACAAAAATAAAACAACGAATTGCCCGGCCAAATTTCGCGCCAATCGTCGAATGAGCGCATTTGTTAAATTATCCTGTGGCAGATTTAAAAAATAGAACACAAAAAAAAAATAAAATAACATGTTTGTAAAAAAATAAAAAAAAAATCAAAATCGATGAGAAAAAAAATATATATACATACATACATATATATATATATATATATATACATGCATATACATTAAATATTATATACAAAATATGTAAAAAATCATAATTAATGATTAATATCGAAAAAAAGAAAAAAACCTAATTGACTCGATATCGAAGGTGAATCTTTTGTTAAAGTTAGAATCGATAATCGAAGATTTCGCGATCGAAAATTCGCGTGGTTAGTATCTTTCGAGCGAGTGAAAGAGAGAGAGAGAGAGAAAGAGAAAGAGTGGTTGTTGCAAGGGAAGATGGGAGGGGAAGAAGAGGGAACGTAATGGCAGGTCGCCGGGAGCGATTCGAAGTTAAAACCCCAACGGATTCGGGTATTTTCGCCGGCGCGGCCGCGAACAGGAGGTGGAGGTGGTGCTGGTGGAGGAGGAGGATGAAGAGGTGGAGGTAAAAGAGGAAGAGGTGGAGGAGGAGGAGGAGGAGGGCCAGGAGAGAGAAAAAATAGTTAAGAGGCTGGTACAGTAGAGGGCGGACGTGGGGTGGGGTGGGGGCGCCGAGACTTGAGGGACAGGTGTCAACGGTACGCACACTACGTCGTCACTGGGCATCCTTTTTTTCCTCCAGGCCCTAAGGATTTTTGGATTTTCATCATAGTGGAAAAAATCTGACTTCTTTGTACAAGCGAACGGCGAGCACGAGGTGGTGCCTGCTGAGATAAATGGTAAGCTAACAGCGGCCGCAGCGCGAGGAGAGAAATTTTTCTCTCTTTCTATTTCTCTCTCTATCTCTCTCTCGCTCTCTTTCTCTCTTTCTGTCTCTGTCTCTCTGATCCTCGAGAGAGCGTCGGGGAAACCTCCCGTGCACGGCCATTTTCTGCTGAATTTCGTGCGAATTCGGCCCCCGCGTATCGACTGGGGGCGCGCGCGGGCGCGCCGAGAGGGGAAAAGACGCCTTCCCCCTCTTTCCTCACCCCCTTCTCTCTCTCTGTCTATCTCTTTCTCGCAAAGTCTCCCCCATCGCGTCCTTTCTCTTTCTCTCTCTCTCTCTCTCTCTCTCTCTCTCTCAGTCGTTTAGCCACGCTAGAGTCCTCTTCGCGCTTACCCTCCCCCTGACTCTTCGGGTCGTCTCGTCTTCCTTCGAGTTTCCGCACACACAAACGCGCCCTGCCCATCCCCCTAACGATCATTCTCCCCATCCCTTCTATTTCTCTCACTCTCTCGGTCTCGGTCTCGCGTTCTCTCACTCCCTTCGACAGGCCACCCCGCCGTCGTCGCCGCGTCGCGACGATCCCGGCCGCTACACAGTAGGCTCTTCGTTTTTTCCCTTCTCCCCACCGTCCGGAGAGTACGTTCTTCCAAGCCGTGCACTTCCCGGTGCGCCGGATCCTCTCGATCTCGAATACACACGGCATCTCGTCTTCGCGTATATCCTTAAACTTAACTGACCACCACGACCACGACCACGACGACGGCGGTGGTGGCAACGAAACGCAACCCAACGCAACGGCAATTACGACGACGACGACGACAATAAAAATTATCCTCATGCGAAAGTCTCGCGAGCGAAGGGAGTAGAGAGACAGAGAGAAAGAGAGTGAGCACTGTTCTACTACTTGGAAGGGGATATACCGTCGTGATCATTCGCGTCGTAATCGTGTGTCTGTCTCGACGGGAGGTGAATTCCCCGAGAAAAGTGCTCGACCAACGAGAGACGACGAGAAAACCATGGGGAAAGGGACGTCGTTGCTGTGAGTAAATATCTCTCTCTCTTGACTAACTTGACGCTGACGGTTCGATGTGCGTGACCGCGCCTGAAAACTTTATTCTCTTATCCTCTTTTCTTTATCCGACGAGCTTCTCTTCTTTTCTCTCTCTATCTCCTCTCTTTCTCTCTCTCTCTTTCTCTCTCTATCTTTCTCTCTCTATCTATCTCCCCCTCTTCTCCCCCCCCATACCCCATCTCTTGCTTCCCTGCATACAGCTCCCCTCCTCCACCCTTCCATCCATCCTAATCCTTACGCGAATTCTATTCACGATTTCATTAACGTTTCAGGTATATGATTGACGGTTTGCAATGAATTTCCCGCCGTTCGGAGGCCACTTTCCCGGCACTATACCGAGTATCCATCAGTTCGCGACCGACAGCTCCGGTGGTGCTAGCGCGCGTTACGCTAATCATTTTCCCAACCAGCCTCCAATCGGAGTGCCGGTTATGGGAAAGTACCGTCCTGAGGCCAACGGCGTACAGACTTCTCAATCGCAAGTGATGATGAACAACAAGGCTAATTATCCAAACAGCAACGTCCACCATTATCCCAATGTGCCATATTCTCAAGCTCAGCCGGTGCAACAGAGACCCTCCAATTCGCCTGGGATGCAAGAGAAACGTTCGTATCATCAGGTAACATCTTTTATCGTTCTCTCTAAGTCCCCCTTTTGTTAGACTCTGAATATCTACAGACGTACTCAAACGGTCTTCAGAGCTCTAATAATCCATCGCCGATCCCAATTTTTAGCAAGCCACCGAGACTATAAATCAACAGGACGTTTGCAATCTCCTACAGGATAAGGACAAAAGCAAGGATAAGAAGGGGGATGAGCAGCAGCGCAATGGGGATGCAGCTACCAATGGTGGACAGCAGGACTATACGATGCATCAACATCATCAACAGCACGCCCACACCCAAACGCCTGCCACGATGCCTGCAACCTGGCAGTCCCTGGCAACGCCTGGCTCCACTGTTGCTGATTACCTCAGTCATTTACCAGCCAGTACTTTGCCGCTTAGCTTACATCATTTTCTCAAATATTCCGCAGAGAGTATAAAGAAGGAATCTGAAATGGCGCAGACCACATCGGTGGCAGTTGCTACCACTACTACGCCTAATATCATGATGTCTCCGAACAACAAGAAAAAGAAGAAGAAGAAGCCACCAAAGGAAAAGAAACCACGCCCTAAACCTGGAGAAATTCGATTGACCACTGCTTTAGATGGCTCTACTCTTTATTGCTGTCCTGAGTGTCATATGGCATACCCTGAACGAGAATTGCTGGAACAACATTTATTGGGTCATACTATGGAGCGAAGATTTGTTTGTGACATTTGCGGAGCTGGTCTTAAAAGAAAAGATCATTTGACGCGTCACAAACAAAGTCATAATCCTGAAAGACCTTATGTCTGCACTGTGTGCCTGAAAGCTTTCAAGAGAAAAGAACAATTGACGTTGCACTTTGTAATACATTCTGGCGAGAAACGTCATGTGTGTACAGAGTGTGGTAAAGGCTTTTATAGAAAAGATCATTTGCGAAAACATACTAGGAGTCATATTGCTAGGAGAGTGAAAGCTGAATTAAGTCAGAATGCTGGTAAGATACTACTTCGACCTCGACAGATTTTAATCTGAAATTTGTGATATAATGTAATATTTTATTCTCTATCTTTCTCTTTCTCTCTCTCTCTCTCTCTCTCTCTCTCTCTCTCTCTCT